TCGTTTTGGTTTTGTGTTCAAAAAAAAAACATTTTTAAAAAAAAAAAAGTCGGTTTTGTTTTAAAACTCAAACCTTTTTTTAAATTTTTAAAATTTTTTGAAAGGGTCCCCGAAATTAATTCCAAAAAAATATTATGTGTTTGCCAAAAAAAAAAATCATAAAAGGAATTTGATTACGAAAAAAATTTTTGCGGGTCCAAAAACCCCCCCCCCCCCCTCCATAACTTTTCTAATGGTCTGTCCCTTAACTTGATGTTAATGGTTGTTTACCATTTACAAAAAGTTCCCGGAAATGCGGTTGAAAAGGAAGTGGAACACGACTTTTCGGGTCTTTCCAGCTGAGAATTTCCGAGAGCAACGGAACGTCTGGAAAAGTAGTCCTGTTCTCTCGGTCGCAATGTTCCAAACGGAAATTTGTGTTCCATTTCATTAAAGCTATCTTTCAATTTCAGGCTTTCTCCTCTGTTTTTCGGTAAATGGAACTGATTTGTGCAAATGATGAACGCGATTCCGGGGACAAATTTACAAGTCCTGAATTTTACTGACCATTTACTAAACCGCAAACCGACCTGTTTCCGAATGTAAATGCATAGTAAACAACCTTGGAAAAGGTGGAACACAAGATGCGTGTTCTTTTTACAAATTTCCACAAGGATTTATCAGTTTCAGGCTATTCACGGCCATCAGCACTGCCGCCAATAGACCTTTTCGTCGAAACCTTTTTGAGAAATGGACAGCGCCCTGAATAAATAATGATCACATCCATATCGTAGCTTTTTGTTACCATTCCTTGTGAAGTTGCAATTAAGAGACGTAAAAGTCCTGTAACTTTTGTAGACGAGGGTAAAACCAGAGTATCTGGAGAACAAGCGGGAACCAACAACAACCGCAACCTAGGTATGGCGTCGCTACCGGGTTCGGAACGAAGGAAACAGTGGAGGAAAGAGAGTGCTCTCATAGCGGCCCCACCGCTACCCATCTGTTTTGAAAACAGAGAAATCGTACTCCATCTTGACTTTAACTCATTTCCTAACAAATTTCTGTGATTCTAAATCTTAAGCTATGGTAAAACGGACAAGAAAAACGTGCAACTTGTTTTGAAACAAGAATTCAACAACCAGGATTGTCGTGGGGTTGAAGATACATGAAAGTTTCAGACTCGTCCGTATTAACCAGTGTCCACGTTAAGCGGGTTAATTTTAGTTCTTACAGCAAAGAAGAAACACTCATTGGAAATAAAACTATCATAATTAATGATTTAGGTAGCAAAGTAATTTAAGAAAGAACTTGCTATCTTATGGTTAGACACTACGTCAAAAGCTCTATCAATATAAACGAAGGGCAGCACTCCACACCAAAAGAGAAAATCACGCTTATTTCCGAAACTCGTCCTGTGTCACATAAAAATTTCAAAAATACTATTTTACATGTTGATATGCAAGGTTACTAAGGAAGGTTTTATTCTTAATTGAATACTTTGACTCCCACGAGGGCATAATGCAACGCAGTATAAACTATTATCACGCGAAACGGCACGTTTTACGGCGTGAAGTTAGCATAAATAGCTGCATGTTGGCCAAACCGAGCAGTTTATCATTGAAAGGCAAGGAGAGGAGAAATAGTATCTTTACTCGTTGAGATTCCCAAGGTAGAACACAACACATAAGAGGCGATTCTTTTTCAATTTACTCGTTGTCCTTTGGCCTTGTAAGTATGCCTTGAAGGGAATTTAACAGTCTCTATTCTTTTCACATTTTTATCACAAGGACTACAAGATGAAGCCTTATTCTATAATACTTATTGGCGCTGCATTTTTGGTGTTCGCGTTCCCAGCTGGAAAGAGGTAAGATATGAAAAATGGTTTACCGTGAATTACAGTCCGGCGTAAAAACTTACTTAAGTCATTTCGTATTTGACCTGTTCAAGTAACTTTATATGCCGTTAGAAACTTCTAGAAAGTTTGGTCCGATTTACTTTTATCGGGGTCTTTTTAAAGAGCATGTACGTAGAATACAAGCTCGCGCAGTTTTTCCTCTTTTTAGTATAAAAAGAGAGGTGATCTATTTCTATAATAGTTTCAAAGAAATTTAAGTTTTTAGGTTTGAACTTATCTGTAGTTTCAAATAAAGCGTTNAATAGCTGCATGTTGGCCAAACCGAGCAGTTTATCATTGAAAGGCAAGGAGAGGAGAAATAGTATCTTTACTCGTTGAGATTCCCAAGGTAGAACACAACACATAAGAGGCGATTCTTTTTCAATTTACTCATTGTCCTTTGGCCTTGTAAGTATGCCTTGAAGGGAATTTAACAGTCTCTATTCTTTTCACATTTTTATCACAAGAACTACAAGATGAAGCTTTATTCTATAATACTTATTGGCGCTGCATTTTTGGTGTTCGCGTTCCCAGTTGGAAAGAGGTAAGATATGAAAAATGGTTTACCGTGAATTACAGTCCGGCGTAACAAGTTACTTAAGTCATTTCGTAGTTTGACCTGTTCAAGTGATTTTATATGCCGTTAGAAAGTTTGGTCCGATTTGCTTTTATCGGGTTCTTTTCAAAGATCATGTACGTAGAATACAAACTCGCGCAGTTTTTCCTTTTTTTTAGTATAAAAAGAGAAGTGATTTATTTCTATAACAGTATTCAAATATATTTAAGTTTTTAGGTTTGAACTTATCTGTAGTTTCAAATAAAGCGTTTATACACGTTTATACTTGTTTAAGTGTCGAATATAAGGCTCGCCACATTGAGATGAATAAAACGCAGTACACCATTGGGGCTAATTTAGCTATCTTAGTAAGGGCAAATACAAAATCAAGTTTCCTGGAGCCGATTTGGACTCAGGGGCGCAAAGGACTGAGTCCGAAATTGAGTTGAAATAGACATTTCCTTTCGATGTTTTGGTTCAAAGTGCGCTCTAGAAAAGGCTGAATCAAATTGATTAAATTTTTTGTCTGCAGAGCTAAATCAGCATTTTAAGGTTGATACGGATCTTTTATTAAACTTAAAAGCTTTTTAGTCGAGCTAGAAGCACTGACAAAATGTAAAATGTTACTTTAATAATTTCTTAGTCAAGACTTTGAAGATGCTCAGCATGTCGAAGAAGATATGGCTGCCCAACCCCCTTATATTTATCGTCCTTATCGTCGTCAAGCCATGAAAGCCAGGATATTTAATCTTGGTATCGGCGACAAAGACAATGGAGTTAATGTCGGCGTCGATAAAGACAAGGGTGTCGATGTTGGCGTTACAGTTGGTGGCAAGAAGATAGGTATTGGAGCAGGGAAAACAGGCGCGAACGTGCAAGTTCCTTTGTAAGTTTTTGGGATTTTATTGAATTGATATCTATGCAAATGATTATCAATTAATGATCTGCCCAACTCTTCTTATCTGTCATTCAAAATATTTCGCCGTTTCCTTGATTGGGTTAAATCTCCCAGCTATTTCTACAAAGCTAGCTGGCCTTGAAAGATGGGAACAATACATCATCGATACGATTAATAAAAAAAAATTCAGAGAAAAGTGAGGAATTCGCCTAAGTTAACTTCAAGTTGTTTGTTTGAGACTAAGGTCTAATAGAAAAAAATGGTGCAGGGCGCTATTGGAACTACGATTGCTTTTTACTGGGCTGCCTGTGATACGCCAAATCATAATTTCTGTTACGTCGGTCGTCTCCGTCAAAAAAATGACCAGCGTTAATTATTTGATTTTGTAACAAGTATGCTTAAGAATAAACGACAAAGTTTGCCTTCAATCGCGAATTTGTTATCACAGAAACAGGCTAACTACTTTGAACTCACCACAGTAAGAACTAATAACCGTGCAGGTCTGATTACCTGATAAGCGGAGTTTTAAGGTAACTACATTTAAATAATGATGACTGTTTTTCCTTTTAGTTGGAAGTAAAAAAGCAGTCAAGCAAGGCCACAACAAGCACATAGCATAGTTAAAGTAACATAAATGATAGCCCACTTATCCTGAAGTTCAGAGGCTTTTAACTATGAACTGAATAAAGTAGAATTGAAAGAAATAAAATTGTAAGTAATTCAATTGCTGCATTTTAAAAATTGCTTGGCAAATCAATAAAAAAAGTTTAACAGTTAGCCAGTCTGTTTATTTTATGAGATTTATAAGGGTCACCCCGAAAACATGGGGATCTACGTATCCACATCATATTCCTCAACCAGCTCAAATGACCCATCCGTAACACCATAATATTGCCAAAAATTAAGACTGGTAGGTTTCTTAGATTGGGTTGGGAAAGATTATACGCAGAGGCAGGTGATGGAAGAGCGCTGGACGAAAAAGGCGGGAAAATAGAAAGTGCAAGTGGCAGACGAATCTTTCTTTGATTTTTAATAGTTTTTATGAACGCAAGTGCTTCCGCCTTTGGGGCTCTACGTCACATCGCGTGACCATACTAAGCGTACCCTAATTAACTCGTTGAAAACTATTTCGCACTAGCGTTCGCTATCAGCTATGATGAGAAAGTCGTCGAGATAAACTAATACACTTCAAAAAGCCACACCGAGTCATCATTCTGGGTATGGATTGTGTTATCCTGTGAAACAGGTGATTTTGAGGTAGCAAATGGCAGTTTACAGTCGCACGTGTAAGTTGTGTGATTCTCTCCGCTGAATTGCCAAGCGATTTTTATAGCGTTGTCATTGGAAAGGTGAATAGGTACAAGACTATACGCGCTCTTAAGGTCATTCTTTGTTAGATTTGCATTAGGCTTGATGAGAGTTACGTAAGAAAGAGAGAGTGCAAATTATCTCCGGTACGGAGTATAGGAGATAATGACTTTCTACGTGTTATTTCTTGGGCATGTTGGTATTATCACCCCTTATTGGTGTTAGTTAATTAAATAGCTGCATGTTGGCCAAACCGAGCAGTTTATCATTGAAAGGCAAGGAGAGGAGAAATAGTATCTTTACTCGTTGAGATTCCCAAGGTAGAACACAACACATAAGAGGCGATTCTTTTTCAATTTACTCGTTGTCCTTTGGCCTTGTAAGTATGCCTTGAAGGGAATTTAACAGTCTCTATTCTTTTCACATTTTTATCACAAGGACTACAAGATGAAGCCTTATTCTATAATACTTATTGGCGCTGCATTTTTGGTGTTCGCGTTCCCAGCTGGAAAGAGGTAAGATATGAAAAATGGTTTACCGTGAATTACAGTCCGGCGTAAAAACTTACTTAAGTCATTTCGTATTTGACCTGTTCAAGTAACTTTATATGCCGTTAGAAACTTCTAGAAAGTTTGGTCCGATTTACTTTTATCGGGGTCTTTTTAAAGAGCATGTACGTAGAATACAAGCTCGCGCAGTTTTTCCTCTTTTTAGTATAAAAAGAGAGGTGATCTATTTCTATAATAGTTTCAAAGAAATTTAAGTTTTTAGGTTTGAACTTATCTGTAGTTTCAAATAAAGCGTTTATACACGTTTATACTTGTTTAAGCGTCGAATTTAGGGCTCGCCACATTGAGATGAATACAATGCAGTGCACCATTGGGGTCTAATTTAGCTATCTTAGTAAGGGCAAATACAGTCCAGTTTTCTGGAGCCGAATTGGACTCAGGGGCTCAAAGGACTGATCATGAGTCCGAAATTGAGCTTAAAAGGCTCTAGAAAAGGCTGAATCAAATTTTTTGTCTGCAGAACTTAATCAGCATTTAAAGGTTGAAACAGATCTTTATTAAACTTAAAAGCTTTTTAGTCGAGCTAGAAATACTGACAAAATGTAAAATGTTACGTTAATAATTTCTTAGTCAAGACTTTGAAGATGCTCAGCATGTAGAAGAAGATATGGCTGCCCAGCCCCCTTTTATTTATCGTCCTTATCGTCGTCAAGCCATGAAAACCAGGATATTTAATCTTGGTATCGGCGACAAAGACAATGGAGTTGATGTCGGCGTCGATAAAGACAAGGGTGTCGATGTTGGCGTTACAGTTGGTGGAAAGAAGACAAGTATTGGAGCAGGGAAAACAGGCGCGAAAATCCAAATTCCTTTGTAAGTTTTTGTATTAAATTGATATCTATGCAAATGATTATCAATTAATGGTCTGCCCAACTGTTCTTATCTGTCATTCCAAATATTTCGCCGTTTCCTTGATTGGGTTAAATCTCCCAGGTATTTCTACACAGCCAGCTGCCCTTGAAAGATGGGAACAATGCATCATCGATACGATTAATAAAAAAACTCAGAGAAAAGTGAGGAATTCGCCTAAGTTAATTTCAATTTGTTTGTTTGAGACTAAGGTCTAATAGCAAAAAAAGGTGGGGGGGGGGGGTTGGAACTACGATTGCTTTTTACTGGGCTGCCTGTGATACGCCGAATCACCGTTAATTATTTGATTTTGTAACAAGTATCCTTTAGAATAAACGACAAAGTTTGCCTTCAATCGCGAATTTGTTATCACAGAAACAGGTTAACTACTTTGAACTTACCACAGTAAGAACTAATAACCGTGCAGGTCTGATTACCTGATAAGCGGAGTTTTAACGTAACTACATTTAAAAAATGATAACTGTTTTTCTTTTTAGTTGGAAGTAAAAAAACAAGTCAAGCAAGGCCAGAACAAGGACATAAATGATAAATGATTTATAGTCCACTTATCCTGAAGTTCAGAGGCTCTTAACTATGAACTAAATAAAGTAGAATTGAAATAAATAAAAATGTAAGTAATTCAATTGCTGCATTTTAAAGATTGCTTAGCAAATCAATAAAAGATGGTTAACAGTTAGCCAGTCTGTTTATTGTATATCTAGGGGAGGAGAAGAGGCTGTGAGAAAGATTTATAAGGGGCACCCCGAAAACATGGGGATCAACGTATCCAGATCGTATTCCTCAATCGGCTCAAACGACCCATCCAGATCATACTCATCAACCGGATCTAATGACCCATCCAGATCATATTCCACAACTGGCTCAAATGACCCATCCAGATCATATTCCACAACTGGCTCAAATGACCCATCCAGATCATATTCCACAACTGGCTCAAATGACCCATCCAGATCATATTCCACAACCGGCTCAAATGATCCATCCAGATCATATTCCACAACTGGCTCAAATGACCCATCCAGACCATATTCCTCAACCGGCTCAAATGACCCATGCGGAACACCAAAATACTGCCAAAAATTAAGACTGGCAGGTTTCTTAGACCGCGTTGGGCAAGATTATATGCAGAGGCAGGCGCAGGAAGAGCGCGGAACGAAGGCGGGAAAATAGTGGGAGGAAACCAATGAAATTGTTTATCAGCAAGCGACAGAGGTATCTTTCTTTGATTAGTTTTTATGAACCCAAGCGCTTCCTCCTTTGGGGCTCTACGTCACATCGTGTGACCATACTAATCGCACCCTAATTAACTCGTTGTAAACTATTTGGCACTTGCGTTCGCTATCAGCTATGATGAGAAAGTCGTCGAGATAAACTAATACAGTTCAAAAAGCCACGCCGAGTCATCATTCTGGGTATGGATTGAGTTATCCTGCGAAATATTTCCGGTGATTTTGAGGCAGCAAATGGCAGATTACAGTCGCACGTGTAAGTTGTGTGACTCTCTCCGCTTAATTGCCAAGCGATTTTTATAGCGTTGTCATTGGAAGGGTGAATAGGTACAAGACGATAAGCGCTCTTAAGGTCAATCTTTGTTAGATTTGCATTAGGCTTGATAAGAGTTACGTAAGAAAGAGAGAGAGAGACCTTCATTTATTCATATCAGGGTAGCCCATTCAGATGCCTTAGGCACTGCTATCAATTGGGGCCCGGAAAAAAAAAATTATGATTAAACTCAATAAAACTGTACAGTTATACTAAAATACTGTTAAAATTTAATAAATTATACAAAAAGTTAATCTTAAAATATGGACCATATACAGTTACAGTAAACATGAATAAAATCTAAAACATTAAAAATTCAGCCTGTTAAAAAATACAGAACCATTGTAATAAAAACAGTTTTTAGCTATAGTAAGTAAGTTCTAATCCTTGGCAGGTGTAACATGTTCATTTGCCTCGTAATTCGACTGTGGACAGAATTGTTGAGAGTACAATAGTTTTTAAAAAATTGCGGGCATTGTCCTTTAATGCATCTCTTGACAAGTTCATTAACATGGCCGTCTCTCGTCTATTTACCAGTGATTGCCACTTAAGATAATCCAAAGCTTTGTCACTGTCACTCATTTTTTAAACAATTTTAGCGGGCATGTCTTTGAAGTCTCACTATAGTAAGACTTCAGTTCCACACGGTGTCTCAATAATTCATGATAGAACGAATATAAGCTGTGTAAATGGGATTAGCACAGTCTGATGTAAGATTTCCCCCTAATGCGCCCTAGCATTCTCAGTCGTTTACCAGATCGCGATAATACATACTTAACATGAGAATTCCAAGAAATATGTTCATCAAATACAACTCCTAAATCCTTGAATTCAAAAACACGCTTAATGTGTCGGCCTTTAAACGTTATACCAAAATCTGCGTCAGAAAGCCGAGCTTGAAAAATGTTACCTAGTTGCGACGGAGTTTAAATTGTTATTCTCAGGGCGGCTGCAGTCGTGAATAAGATTGCCCCAACAGCTTTTAAAATTGTACTTTTTTTGCTATGATCACATAGTTTCGACTTGTACATTAGCTCGGCAGGCATCTACTGTACATTACGGGGAGACTGATGTAAAATCGAGCAAAGTCATTGAATATCCCTAGGCGAATTAGCATGTGCATACTGTGGGTGAGGCTGGATACAATTAGGCACAATATGCAAACATTGGAAGCGACAATTAGGCCACTAACATCCTGTGGGGGAGTTGAAATGCCTGCAAATGGTTGGGGCTTTTTGTTGCGAGCTATTTTCTGCTAGGAATTTTTTGCGGTGCTGGTTGGAAAGAGCCCAAAGTTCGGCGTTTGATGAGAAAGCGAGTATTCAAAAGTTGGGAGTCGCCTCCCCACCGAAAACCGTATTTGTGCATCATACACGACCACTGGCTCTTCAAAAGCTCAGTTAACTTGACCTTGTAGGATGAATAATCGGAAATAATAGAAGTGCCCTATAGTTTTCCAGTTGTTGCCAGCTCATGCATCATTCTCGAGTTTGCGGCTACATAGATAAGGTGACATTTTCTAGCTTTACTTTGGCTTTATTCGCTTTTATTATGATGCGAGCCCCACCCGTGTCATCAATCTCATGTTCGTCTTCGGGGCTCGCTAATGTATTTACACTAACAAGGTCTGGTATTGAAAGAGGCTTCCCACCATTTTGCTAGCGGCTGCTTTGGACGAGGCCGGCAAGGTGCTCTTGGTCGCTCCCAGTTTCAGTAGAGGGTCGTCCAATTCGCCTATTCCTTCTATCTTTTTGATACTTTCGTCAAGCCCTTCATCTACACCATTAATGAATACTTCCCTCCATTTACTGAATACTTTTGTAGCATATAAACTCAGACCCTGAATATGTAGCCCCCGCTGCACTAATTGATATCCCTGATGATTGGTGGATACTTGAAATACCTCTTCATGTTGTTACACATTTCCTTTCTAAGCTTAAGAGGACTGCTTGTGGCCCGGATGAGCTCACATACTGGTTTTTTGGGGATTTTGCCCATGATCTTGCCCCTGCTGTTGCCGATGTGTTGAACAGCTCGCTGCAACAACATAAAGTTCCATCCTCTTGGAAGATGGCACAAATCAAGCCTCTACCAAAGGAGTCTCCACTGACTAGCTGTACCTAGCTTCGACCAATTTCTTTGACTGTTGTTATCGTGAGACTTTTTGATCGATTGGTCTATAGGTATGAACTTTCTAGTATTTGCAATGATTATATCGATTTAGATCAGTTTGCCTATCGTGAAGGCCATAACTCTGACTATGGCATTAATTAAGTGTCAACATGCATGGTTAAAGTGGCTGGATGGTAATGACGATTTTGTCAGGATTTTTTCCTTGGACTTTAGTAAGGCCTTCGACTCTGTATCACACAATATTCTCTGTAGTAAATTGAAGCAAGTTAAAATCAA